ATAAGGCCTGTGCATGGCTATATATATTACACATCAATTAAATCTACCTATACACCATAGGGACCACTCTCTATTTCATTGTGTTTTGGAAGCTATCTCTCACATTTTTAGCACTTTGTGGATCAGTTTACTTGTTTATTTACCTCTAGCCATTTCGTTCAAAAGCAGGATGGCAATATTCAACACGACACGCAAATAATTCGAGTTTGACTAATTAATTTATTTAACAGGTTACTAAGATCATATCACGTTCCTATCAACCGATACATCAATACACTCATATAGGTACGGACCCAACATAAGATCAGTTAGGCACATTTGATTTTACTGAACATTTTAAAATTTATAAAGATTTTTTTACTAAAATTACAATTAGCTTCCACTGGATTTTTTTATTTTTTTTATTTTTTTTGTACATTGTATACTTTAAATATTTTAGAATTTATGAAGATGCCCCATTAAAATTACAATTCGTCCAACTGAATTATTTTTTTTTTGCGTTTTTATACTTTAAATTTTTGAAAATTTATAAAGAAAATCTATTGAAATTACAAAAATAGACCTACTATATAAGTTTGTCCCCACAAATTAAAAGGCCGCCCACCTTACAAAATTTTCTAGGTCCATCACTGTACTCATATACAACAGTATAAATATTGAAAACATAAATTATTATCCCTAATTAGATAGTCTGGGATTACATAATTTTGCGAATTACAGGTGAAAGTGCAACTAAAGTCAAATGAAGTTAACACATTTGACTGCATAACAGACATGATCAGATGGTCTTAGAATTTGTTAGGCCGTGTGTAGAGTTTAGAAAACACTAGATATTTTCTTTCCTCTCTAAAGAACAAAGGAGACCAAAATCCTCGTGTACACAATATTGTGCACATGATAAAATCCAAATCCTAACGGAGGAGATTTCACTCTTATAACTGCATTTTACTTATTTAAAAAGTATTTTTTAAAAAAAATAAAATGTGTTTAATATTTTTCTTTCTACTTCTTCTTTCAAAAAAAGAAAAAGAAAAGGTAATACAGGGTTGACACACTTTTTGTCTAGGCACCGGTCAATATACATATAAAATAGGTTAAACTTAGAGCATTTCCATCGATATGTTAAAAAAAATTTTTGTGTAAAATATACACTGTCACATATAATTTATAAATTTTTTTCATCTTCAGAAATTTGTTAAAATACACTGCCACATCACCAATGTGTAAAAGGGTTGTGTATTTTACACAACCCTTTTACACAACCACGTAAGCATATTTTCTCTCTCTTCTCTCTTTCCCACTCGCGGTTCTCTTTCTCTCTCTCATTTCTTTACGGCTCTTTGTTTTCCACTTTTAGAGTGCCATAGAGAAGAATCTGCAACTGGCGGCAAGGTAAGAATTGTTCGACCATCTTTTATTTTTATTTTTTTTTCTTTTTTTAATAAAAATAGCTTGATTCATCACTTTCGTTTCATCTTATCTTCTGTAATCATCGCCGTAGATTCTGGAGTTTTTTTAGATTTTTTATCCTTTTACATTCTATTCCAATGAGATAAATAGTACTAGCCAAATATTAGATATATATTTTAATCACGATTTTATATAATTTTTGTTTGATACAGTTATACTAATTTTTTTTCTTTTTTTTCTTTTTTGGTGATTAGTCAATTCAATCGCAATTGTTATTGCATGTTTTTGGTTTCTGTAAAAAGTGAAATATAAGATAGGAGGAAATTATTATTTTTTTTTCTAATTGAAGAGGATTGGGACGTGATGTTTAATCGTGAAAAAGTAAATGAATCAAGTAAGTTTGTAAAAGTTATATAGAACCTTGGATATGACACGTGGTTGGTTGTTATTGGGGGATATTTTTTTACACAAAAGGTATAAAACAACCGTTGGAGCTAAAAATAGGTAATACAAATTTTTTGTGTAAATCTACTCTGACACATCAGATTTATACAAAAATATATACACAATGATTGGAGATGCTCTTACCTTTCAAATATTGCAGCATCTAATTTCTCTAAAAGATCAACCAAAATAAGGTTTCTTTTTTCTCTGTTTGGTCGAAAGAAAAGAGCATGCACCAACCAAACTAATTGACAGACACAACTTTGGCGATACAAAGGGTCCTCTTTTCATTTTATGTGTGGAAAATTTTAGCTCTTTGTTCATAACATAAACTCTTTATTTTTATTTTTTACAGGGCAAGAAACTTATACACACTTTTACTCCCATGAAAATTTGAACTTTCTGTTTTCTACATTGTAAGATAAAGAAGTATCAATAAATTACAACCCACATAATCAAAATCTTAAGTTCCCGATTAGATCCATTTAATTAATTACGTAGTATATTATAATCATATCATGTCAACCTGATTAATCTTTAACCTATTTTAATTTATTTTTAAAAAAACAAAATTTTCAAACCCATATATACCTAATCACTTCCCCATTTAGATCTTCGAATTCAATGTGGGGCAAGTCCCCCTAATAACGTTCTCCTTCACCCAAACTCACAACACTCTCGTTGCTGTCGGGTCACCCTACTTATCCGGGGTGAAGACCTGAATGCCTCCGGGTGGGGCGCTTAACATGACACCGGATCAAAGACTCGATTTGACTCTGATAACAATTGTAACGGGTCAAGTGTTTCGTGTTTCAACCCAAAAGCTTAAGCCATTAGGTGGTGCTAACACCCGACCCATATATACCCAATTGCTTTCCCATCCGAATTCGATGTTAAAAAACAAAAAACAACTTCTCATCTGACTTAGTTATCTTCTCACTTAGACACAAATATAATCAGAATAGCCACAAAATTGACACAACACATTTGTAGAGGCTAAAGCCTTTAACCTTCACTATGATTCAGTCAATACAAAGAAAACCCTCCATGTCTGCACAGGCTCACAATATTAACACACATGCTTGTTGGAGACCCATCAAAGGCTATATATAGACACTCTCAAAATTGCCTACAAACTACCCACGAGGGTGGTAGATGACACTCCCATCCACCTAAGGTCTATTGGCGGGTGGTGGATGACACCCTCATCTACCTAGGGTCTACTAGCATTAACTACCAATTGATTGGGTTGTGTTAGACCACTCCAAGATTGTTACATTGCTATGAACTAAGTCACATAATTTTTCTTAACATGTGTCGCTCTCACGATTCGAGCGCACTTCCACTCTCACGCGTTCTCGCTCAAATTCTCACTATTTATGACATAGTTTTGCCGTTGTCATGCTTTCGCTCTTGAATTTGCTCACGCTCTCGTTCCCGCTTTATGTGACTTAGGCTATGAAAGCTACTCTGCACTTGCCCATATTTTCAGCGCATGCCCATGTCTTTATAAATGGGAGGAATTGATGCAATTGTCGTGTGTTGTCAAGCTTTAGATCATGCCACCTTATATAGGTGGTTGTTGCACATTCCCACCACTCAATCATGCTACACATGTGGGGGGAAATGCCCAACAACCATTCCCAACTGCTGAAACCACCACTGACTAAAGCTATGCAGGTCTGTGCCAAGCCCTTGTCTTAACCATGCCATGTAATGACTTATACATTGCACCATCTAAGTAAAGCCAACCAATCTAGCTTTCCCTTTACTTGCATTGTGATCTTTACCCAATGCACTAACCTACGCCTTGGTCTGCTGGGGCATGGTCAGTACCACATCCGCACCATAAGTCCGTCCATGCCCAGGCCACCATTGTGCCCATGAAGGCTGTCAAGTCACAACTGATTGCCACACACCTTGTCTAGAGCCCACAATCTTGCTTAATTAATGCAAGTTAGCACGCCCCATGAGCTCATATGTGCAAGGCATGCAATGCCAAGTACGTGGTTTGGGTCGCACGCGCATGTGCTGACTGTCTATGGGGTTGCCCGCGAATCGCCAGAAGCCACCACCTTGGAGTAGGCATACCCATGAGTAAGCATATTGGCCTGCCCCATGCATGCCCTAGTGTTGGGCATGCCAAGGCTTAACCATCCCCCCAACCCCCCCCTCCCCCACCCCCCCGCGGCGGCCCACATGCGTGGAAGGGTTAAGGAGCTGACCTTAAGAGAACTCACTCCTATATATATATGCAAAAGTAAAATCCATGGTTCTAACATGAGGAGATATCAGGTATGTCTAATGAGTTATAATGGGGAAATAAATAAATCCCAAATATTCAAATTCGATTCCGTCTTCACATATAGTCTTTAAAGCTTCAAAGATGCTCCAATAATTTTCCCATTATTTTCCTCTAATGATTTCTCACAATTTGATTTTTCATTTAACTAGAAAAAGGAAAACGATTCTTGCAGTGAATGGCTAGACTTATTCTTTTAATTGGTCAATTATGCAACAAATAAGGAAGTGGAGTCCTCCACTTAGTTGTATTTGATATAAATAACCAATTAAAAATTATTTGATTAGGTAATTCACTGTAAGTATTCGGTGTAAATATCACTACTTTTAGAAAAATGCAACTGTCACATGCAATGTACTTTTGACGGCCACTTTGCCCCACGGTAGTTGTCAAGGATCTTGTCAGGCCACCTTATGATATAGGTCCCTGTGGAGAAAAGTATCAATAGGCTAACAGTAAGTCATGACCCGATTCAGTAGGGTGATGTATCACGCTAGACCATTATAATTGTTTATACGTGTGAGTGATCACAGTTGTTCCTGCAGGACCGTATCGCACGGTGACACCGCAAAGAATCCAGGCTCTTGTAGGTCCCTTCCATTCAATCTCTCTCAGTAGCGCTCCACCGAACCGGCACTGTTCCACGTGGGATATTGTTGCTGAATCGCTGGAGTGTAGCTCTCACTCAAACCTGTGCGCGTAGACACACTCATTCAGTCCATTTCCTTAAATATCAACCTCTCCCGTTGTAGTACTATTTAAAGGTTGACGGCGAATTTTTTATATTATCTTAAATTATTTCTCCTATTTTCTCTCTTTTCTTATTATTATTCTCGTTCTATCACTGTTTTTCTCATTTTATGTGTTATGTATTGACGGGACAAAGCTTTCGAATCCTCTCTCTCTCTCTCTCTCTCTCTAAAAAGTTCAAAAAATGAAAAACAACATACTTCGCGTGCGCGTCCTTTCTCTCTCTTCCTCTCACTTCACCTCCTAAACCCTAATCTTTCTCTCTCTAAATTCTCCCTTCGCTGAAACTACTCGGCACATATATATAACTATTTATATATACAGATCGTCGCCGGAATTATGGATGACAAGGACAAGCTCGATCCAGGGATGGAGTTCTCGGCGGCTCAATCGAGCTGGAGTACACTCGGCGGTGGTGGTGACTCGGACAACTTCGGCTTCTTCGGAAGCTATCGAGAGAGCAACGTGTTGAGCGAATTCGGATGGAATCTTCAGCCGGACACGGCGGAGGGGAGTGGAGGCGAAGCCGCCGGTTTCGGAGGACTTGATCGGATCGGTGCGGAAGATGAGAGGTCTGAGGATTTGGCGGAAAATCAAGCGTTGATGCCGGAGAGTAGTAGTGCTGTTGCGCCGCCGGTTCATACCGGACTTGCCTGTGGTGGTGATGCTTCGATGTCGAATCCGTCTGTGTCTTCTAGCTCCTCCGAAGATCCGCCGGAGAAATCGACCGCTTCCGGCGGGAAACCGCCGTCGGAGACAGCGTGAGTGTGGGTTGCGTGTGGAGTACTTCGTGGTGTCCGTGGCTTAGTGTCGTAATAAATCGGTTTTTGATGGTCATTTTGACAGGAGAAAATTGAAGAAATATATATAAAATCATGAAATCGAATTAGTATTTGTTTTTGTTCTCGAGGTAAAGTGTTATTCCGTGTCCGTACTCTCTCTAGAAAGCGTCAAATTTGGAAGGCATTTTCATTACTAACCAAATTTGTGGGTCTGAAAAAGAAAATTCACCAAAACAGAGGGGCCTTTTTTTTAATACTAACAGTGGGCATGAACTCAGCCGTTATTGCGGCGGGAATGGCGTGCTCTATCTTTTTTGGGTGCTAATATTATCATAAATTACATAAAATGACAGTATATTTGTTATGCAAGAGTGAAAAAAAAAAAGTGAGAGAATATATCTAAAATATGTTTATATTTTGGCTGGTTCTTTTTGTTGATATGATACATGGGGTTTTAGAATAATGCATATATATATATATATAGTTATATGTATATGTATATGTATGCTTATAGATTTGTGTAATGGAGCACTTTTTCATTTGCACAAGCATATACCCACCTGTATATATATAAGTGCATATATTTGTGTTTGTAAGTTGTTTGACAAAATGCTTCTTTAAATAAACTGTTTGGTTAGTTACATGTAGGTTTCTTCTTCATTTTTTGTGGTGCATAAATTTAAAGGTCATTTATGTTGTCAGTTCATAGTTTAGGTTTTGATTTACTAGTTTAACCCCCAACCCAGTTGTAAAGTTGGCTTAAGCTTCCGTGTGTCCTTTAGGGGCAAAATAGTGCAGTTAGTCTACCCTATGAGTATATTCCATTTAATGAAAGTGATATACTTTTCATTTTAATTTCTTTCCTATAATATTTGATGGCACTTTTAAATTCCTCACAGTGAATGCATTTTTTTTTATCCAGAAAAGAAAATTGATCATGCTTAATTAGTACTATAACTGTTGTCATTTGCAAAAGCTTTCATTATCACCAGGTAAGAAGATCATATATGGAAATATATATCGTGACATTTGATGAAGTGCTATCTATTAATTGAATAAAGACATGTACACTTATGCCAATGTTTATTTGGAAGTGCAACAAGTTGTGTTTGTTTCTTTGTATATCATCAGTGGTTAATTAATTTACTTCATTTATGTGTCCCTTTATTTCTCCAATCACAGTTCTTGTTCCATGTGCATTCAGGAAATCTAATATTAGATTTTTTTTTTGTTAATTTTCATGTTTGTAAACTGACTTAATTGATTAAACATTAAATCACCAGGTGTTATATAGCTTAGTGGTATCTCATCTACCTTCTACAATGAAAGGTCTGAGGATTAAAGCTCTGTTAATGACAAAATTTGGGGGTGTGACTTACTTGCCATGGTTAAAATTAAAATAAAATAGACGCGCGTGTGTCTTGTTAATGTATTGCATATATATAATTTTTTATTCTTGGGGTAAATATATAGCTGTATGCATATCTAGCTGTTATGATTTTGTTTAGCACTTCGTGTCCTCTAACTTTGTTGCACCTAGTTAAGCTTAGCATCTATAAATTGATTATTCTTCTAGTCTTCACTTCCTAGACTAGAATTGACCATTCGTCTATGAAATTTATAATCTATCTTTCTATTAATTATTTCATATGTGTTTCCTCTTTTCATTATTAGTTCAGAGAAAAATTTAACTGCAATAAATCATATATATACCATTTTTGAGATAATTTTAATAAGTGTTTATGAACACTTTGTTTTCGATTAATCAGGCACTAAACAATTTCAGGTTATATATATCCAACGGGGATATATTTTCTATATATGATAATGAGCTCTTGTCAGTTCTATTTATTGGCTTTTTTGTATCTTGGATGCGCCTTAATTTGTTTAATTTTTTTATCTGTTCATCAGAAACTTGCTTTCATACATAGGCTTTATATTTTGCAGGAGCAAGGTTAGAAAGAAGGGGCAAAAGAGAATACGGCAGCCACGTTTTGCATTCATGACTAAAAGCGAAGTTGATCATCTAGAAGATGGCTACCGATGGCGGAAGTATGGACAGAAAGCAGTTAAAAATAGTCCATTTCCGAGGTCTGTAGTCACTTCTGATTAAGACATCTACTAAAAAGAAAAAAAGAAATTGTCAAAGTTTTTTTTTTTTTTTTTGTAAATAATAGAAGATGAATAAGAAATTTTAATTTCTGGATTACATCAAGTTCTTTTTTACTTTTGGAGTCTTTCAAACGTAAAATGTTGACCGAATTGTCTTCTCTAATCATTTTCATCATTTCCCTCTTTAGATGTTTAAATATGTGTCCTAGCTTAATTTCTATCTCTATTACCATTTTTAGTATTCATGAAATGTATAATTTCCAGAGGCTGCCAATCATTGAAGGAGAAAGAAATTACCTATAGTTTTTTGCATTCTACTTCTGTTTTTTTAGAAAAATATTTTTTATCTTGCATTCAGTTTATGATGCTTATTTTCAGATGGTTCAATTTTTCATGCTTAATTTAGTGTCTCTCCTGTAAAATTAATAGCATGTTTTTATTTCATAATTTTGTTATCCAATTAGAAAAAGTAGTTGTCTAACCAAACTGCATCAAATATCCTTTTATCAGTTTATCCTTTTCTTTTTAATTTTTACAATGCAGGGAATATATGAAATTCACAAATTTAGTATTAAATTTATGATTTACCTCTTAGAGCGATAGAAGAAGATTGGTGAAAAATGATTAAACATTAAGTAAAACAAAGGTGTAAACATTTTGGGAACAACAAATATACTTGATGTGGAGGAAATAAATTCTCAATTACCAGTTCACAGTTGTCACACATGATATATTAGTAAAGGGGTAATATAGAAAAAACGCAATATTGAATGCACTCTTCGGTATTTTGCAGGAGCTACTATCGCTGTACAAATAGCAAATGCACAGTGAAGAAAAGGGTTGAACGCTCGTCTGATGATCCAACTATTGTAATTACAACATATGAAGGCCAGCACTGCCACCACACCGTTGGATTTCCCAGAGGTGGACTCATTAATCACGAAGCTGCCGCCTTTGCAGGCCAGTTAGCTCCTTCAGCCCCACAGTTTTACTATCCAGGATTCCAATTTCCTCAAGAGGGTTCTCCTACCATATCACAAAGACACCAAGTCCGTGGTGAAGCAAGAGAATCTCGTGTGTTGTCTCAGCCTAACACTCATCTTCCCACTGATGAAGGACTGCTTGGGGACATTGTACCTCCTGGAATGCGCAACCAATAAAAAGATGGTACAGACTTTCCCACATTATATTAATTGATTTCAGTTTAAATGCTGGTATTTTAATATCCACACAATTTTAGGGAAAGAATTTAAATTCACACAATTTTATATTTTTATCCTTTCCCAATTTTGTAACAACTAGAGTATCATTTTAGAGAGAGCATTAGTACTAATTAGTACACTAAAACCAACTAGGGTATCATCTTAGAGAGAGTTCATAATGACATCTAAAGTGCGTTTAACCATTTCTACACAAGGTTTTGCTATCTGGCCTAATTCCCTTTTTATATATTGAGCTAAGACTCAAGCTTCATAGACATGTGTTAAAGCAGCCCTTAAGAGGCATCTTAAAATTGACAATGTAAGATGCAAAAGTGTCAACAAATTCTTCATTGAGCGTTTGATTAATTGGGTAGACGAAAATTTTCCAGTAGAATATTTAGTAGTAGCAGCAGAAAAGCTCCTACAATTTCGATGTTGATTAACTCATTCTATGAGGATTACTAGTATTATACTTTTGGTGTTCAGGTCTAAAAGCTACTTTATTTTTTTTTCTTTGAATGGCGCTAAGGAAGCACATGAATTCAATCAATACAAATTGTCATTCTTGTACTAAAATTGTGGTCCACTGAATCAAATCATCCTTCAAGCTTACACTTGTGTGGTGTGATATGCAATTTTGCTGATATATATCCTTTATATAATATGCCTTCCCAAACACAAAACAAGTTCTTTGTTTCTGAAAGATTGCAATCTTCAGATAGGATCGATCAATCTTTATCACATGATACAAATAACAAAAACAAGATTATTTACCCAAAAAAAAACAAACAAACAAGATTGGTATTATCTCATAATAAATTTCAGGCATCTGTTTGTAGACACACGGCAGTGTGTGTGTTTTTTCTTATATTGTGGCTATGCTTTAGACAAGTAAGCACACCAGTGTGAATTGTATTAGGTCTACCAGCAGTTGATTACCTCAGAACAGTACAATAGCAGCATGTGATCCATAATGATCTTGATAATGGGTGTTATAGATATGGTAGGCCAAAGGTATTTGTTGTGATGTTAACATGTGGTTGTTAATTGTTTCCTTGTGACATGTATAGTTTATCTACATCATGAGCATTCATGTAGTTCTTATTGGTTGAAAACTTATCAACATCATGTATTATTTTCTGGACTATGATTTGATCATTTCAGTATCTGAACATCTCTTTGTGTAAAAAGGGTGCACTTGGAAGTAACTTCAATCACTAATGATGTGTAAATGACCAATAGAATTTTTTTTTTTTTTACTGATGCCACTTTTTGGAAAAAGTTTGAAGGTGGACCAAGAGTGATCTCTCTTTGGAACACCTATTTTAAACATCTAAGATTAGCCCCTAACCTCTCTCAAAGTGTAGGGTTGGCACTTATTTAAATCAGAAAAGACCATATATATTACAACTACTTGCATTTTTAGTCAAATGGAACAAAATCTAGTATTTTATGCAAAAGTTAGGGCTTAAAGTTTATTTAGGAAGTTCATTCTAGAAATCACTTTTCCATGAATTGCTTCCAACCACACCTTTTTGGGTGGGTTGCTTGTGTGTGTGCCAAAAGATTCAACTTGCTTTATCACACAAATTCCATTTAGTATTCACTTACTTGTCATGCATAAGATTGATATATGCTTTTGATGGCAAGTTCATTACCATTAGCATAGTATAGTATCTCTTTCTTCTCAACGTACACTTTTGGCTTCAACCATATATATGTAGAATTCAACTATGAAGATTTGATGCTAGCAAGTGCTACTTTAAAAGAACCCCCAAGTAAGGGCGATTCGGTCATTTAGAAGGAATAAAATCTGAAAAAAAAAAAAATGTATATATTATATTAACCTTGATAAAAAAAAAAAAAAAGTGTAATGTGATATACATGCACTTAGCAATGATGTGTCAACTTCATTGTACTGGCACAAGTTTAGCAATTGTTGGGACTTTACAATATTTTCTGTGCAAACCAGGAGGACATTCAATAATTTTGATCACCAAGTTGGATCATGTTGTGTCATTTTCTGAAAGAAGAGACTAAAAATTCACTCACGTCCCCCCTCCACACAGTGTACACACACACAACAAGGGAAAAAACAAAATTCTAAGAAGAAAAATCTTCTGCTATACTGATCTGCTGGCATGAATATATATATATATATATTTTCTCATGAAAAACATTGCTCAGGTTCTGATAGAATAAAGCGTGTATAGATGCCTGCAAGTCCCACATGATTTTGATTCTGGATTGCATGCTTTGCTAGCTACTTTGTCAAAGCTGTACTCAAGGACTCTAGCTAGCTCCTAGTTCAAACCTTGCACCGTCCATATATTTTAATTTTGTTTTTATCTGTTTGAATATTTGAACCACTAAACCTTGTAATATTGTAATATTGTACAGGCCAAGAAGAAGATTATGGAATATGAGGCAGATTAATTCGTGTTACATCATTGTTAATGAGACCATTATCCATGATTACCGCAGTTTCCAAGCCCAAAATGTGAGTTTCTTTTTCTTGTTCATATATATATATATATATATATATATATATATATATATATGTATGTATGTATGTATGTACGTATAGAATGGCTAGCTAACCAAGTCTCACATACAGACTAACATGCCAGGTATTGATGGTCACATGGCTGCAGTACTCTTGCATTGAGCTGAGATTTATCTGATCATGTTAATGATATATGCACATATATATACATATATGTATATATATTCTTGTATATGGCTCGTTAGGCGTTGGCTATCATTTTTCTAGCTATCTTTGATGATCCTTGACTTGTCTATTTTTGTTAAAATGATGGTAGTGTACTATATGTAACAATTCAATTAGAATTTGAACTTGTTCACGAGATCTTCTTTCTACCTACTTTTTGAAGCCATGCGTGATATATATATATATATATATGTGTGTGTGTGTGTGTGTGTGTGTGGATGGTTTTATATTTCGGAGTATATTTGTAGTGCGTGGAATTCGATGTTGCTTCTTTCTCTGCCGACGTTGCTTTTTCTTTTTTTGTTTTTTTCCAGTCTACCCTTCCTCTTTTTAACCTTTTTTCTTTCAGATTACGATACCACTTTTACCTCAGAGTTTACGGGTTACTTTTACCCGACACACACTTTTTGCCCACAGCAAAATCATATACCACTAGTTCTTGCCCCCACTTTTATTTATTTCAAAATTCTTCCAACAGTTTGTGGTGGTACCATGATTAAATTACTAATAAAACAATTAACATGGACAACTGTGATTCTCATTGTTATCTAATCTCATCATTGGTATCGATCACCTCCCCCAATGGGTGAACCCCTTTGTGGAGCGATGATCCCCATATAGTTTACAACTGCACTTGAAAGAACAAGAGATTTTAGATTTCCCATAATGGAGTGTCCCGACTTATTTATGGGATCCGTGTAAGTCATTTCTTTTTATACGATTGAGTATAGTGTGGACTATATTTGCGAACGTAGGTCCTAATAAATTGTTTGTGCCTAAATGAAATCGATCTTAAAATTTTGTGCTTCATGAAACACCAAAGTTCAATTTTATTTTATTTTTTTTAACTAGGCTTGTGAGATTTTAAATTTCACTTGAAGGTAATTTAATGGAACAAATGATCGGGATTGTAGATTTAACAAATCATGACCAAAAGTATTAGATTTCATAATTAGTTGCACCTTTTCATAAACATGTCAACATCAATTTTCATAAAAAAAATGGTATTACGATTATTCTCAAAGGCTGAAGGCGCACTAAGGCTTTAAAGGTCCTTTGGAGTTTACGTGTTAAGACTAGGTGCGCATCTAAGTGTAAATTATTTAATAAAGCATTCATATTTTATATATCAAAGGACTCACTTGCACAACTAGTTGGACAACAGGCGCCTGATGGTGATAGGAAGTTGAAAGTTCGAGTCCTATTAGGAGCTACTAAATTCACGGATGGAATGATATTTTCTCTCCAAATAAGATGTTGAGAGTTCAAGCTCTATTAAGGACATGTTATGGATGGTGGGTGTGTGTCACTTCTAAATTCACATGATAGTGTGTCACTTCTAAATTCACATGATAGTATAATATTTTCTCTCTAAATAGAAAGCTGAGAATTCGAGCCATTTAAGGGCCATTTTATGGGTAATGAGTTGCTTATTTGTTTTAACTTTCAAAGAAAAATAATATTATTAGAAAACAAAAACATTTTTCTTCTAGATTAAGGTACCACTTTCACCTCAGTGCCCATGGTTACTTTACCGGGCACTTTTGTCCACAGCAAAAATCATAAACCATGGTTATTGCCTTATTTCATTTGTTTTTAAAAAAATTAATATATTCAATGGAACAATTGCACATGATTTCTTAACGAGGAGACTCAGGAGAGGAGAGGAACCTCAAACTTATTTAATCTAACTGATAAGGTTAGAGAGTCAAGTAATCACACCAAAAAACTCATGTTTTCCATATTCTTCAATTAATTATACATTTTAATTTTTTTTTTTCTCCTTTTTATCCTACAATCACACAAAGCTTGAACCTTGAACTTGACCTTCTATCGAAAGATGAGATAGTATTAGCCTATGTCATGATAGATTTATACAAAAATTTGGACTAATTATATTATTTTATACATTTTATGTAAAAATATATCTGTCAATAACAATCAATTACGTGTCATGTTTTGTATATTTTACACAAAATGATCTTTTAACACATTTTTAAAGATGCTCTAAGCGAGTTTACATTTGATTAAAAAAAAAAAAAAAACTGTAACTATTAGGGAAGCAAGTTTGTATAAACATATTCATATTTTTTGAGCAATTTTCGCGAATTAAAAAGTTATAGGTTGATAATAAATGCTTTAAAATAGTTTTGGAAGCAACAATAAGACTTGAGAGCTACTAAATTCAGAGCCCTGTAGATCTAACATTTTCTTTTATATTATTTTTGTAATCAACTCATGTATAATATAGTTGTTTAATGAGAATTTGTGAATTATGAATTAAAGAGAATTTGTGGTGAACATATGAGAATTCGATCACGGAGTACTGTTTTGGACTTGTAAAAATGGGTCGGTATGTTGCATCACTCAATAATTTAAGTTTTTAATTTAGATAGCAAAAGCTTGATTGTCAAAGTCGATTCAATTCTTTATTCGGTGTCAAATTGACACCTTATAATATCACTGTTACAAACCAGACAATTCACATCCGACTCAAAAACATAAATTATTAAAGTGGTGTTACCTACCATTAAGAGCTCAAGACACTTCCCAACTCGATTATTTAAACTCAATAATTAAAATGTGAGATGTGAAATCATATTTCTTGCTTTAATATCCATATGGTTATGTTATGTCAGACAGGCGCACAACAAATTTGTCTAGCATTATATAAATAATCTTTTGAACCATTATAAATTTCAATTCTAGAATTCTTCAGCATCATTTATTCTAAGGCCCTTAGTCTATAAATAAGTGGCATCTCATCTACACCACACCAAGTAATCAAACTATTTTAAAGTATTTTTTTTATTATAATACGAAGTTTTCCATTCTCTCAAATGCAGTACTTGAGTCTGCGGTTCCTTGGCACATAGGTGGTGTCAACAATCAATCTCAGAATTACCATCCAAAATTCACAAATTTAGTTACAATTTCTTTATAACGTGCGGTTGCGATTGATATTTTCTATTTATGCTTAAGGATAATAGTAAGAATTATCTTAGGACATTTCATTATTTTAAATTTTTTTAAACGAAAATATATATACATTCTTGGCTTGGGAAAATTAGGAAGGACAGAGGGAAAATAAAGAAGCTTTCTCTCTCTCTCTCTCTCTCTCTCACACACACACTGTATATATATGGATTAATTAATTTGGGAGAAGGCATGGGTATTTTGGTCTTTTAATTAATTTTTTAGGGTTAAAAGGGATTTTGCAAAGTCAAGGGGGTAACAATAACTGTAAAAGTGGTCTGACATAATTGAAAAGTAACTTTTGGGATATGAGTGAAAAACGGATCAAACCTTTGCAAGTGAGTAATAATAATTTTCAAAAGGTGTTTTAGTGTGATATTTGACCAAAGCTAAACAAGTATCAGTGAAATTAACTTCTTTTTTTTTTTTCCTAACGAAAATATATATATATTATTTTTATTTTTGTCTTGTATTTTTTATTTAGTAAGGTTAATGAGGGAAAATTTCAAGCTTACTATCATGACCCGCCTATAGAGGTTACACCATGCAGGCGCTGGGTAGGACGCTGCATGGCATTAGAGTTTCTAGAGTCTTCTGGAGTAGTCTAGAGTTATGTAGATGATTCTAGATATGTGTAGAAATGTGTAGTATATTGTAGAAGTGTGTGTGGAAGGTTCTAGAATTCTCCAAAATTGTGTGAAATAGTATGGAGAATTCTAAAATGTTGAAGATATATATGGAAGTGTGAAGAAAATGAGAGAAGATTCTAGAGAATCGATCTCAACCATAGGTTAGAATGCAACCTAGCCGTCCATTAGGGATATGGCTGTCAATAAATAGGACTGGGACTTCATTTTGTAAACATCAAGTCTTGGAATGTGTCTTAAGAGCCTTGTAGAAAGTTTGAGAGTTAGCCTTGTACAAAGTATTCTTTGAAGTAATAGAAGTGTTCTTTTCTTGCCAACTTAAGTGCCTTAATGTGTGTGAGTGTACAAACTAAGTGAGGAGAAGGTAAGGGCCACTACAACACTAGTAAGCGCACGAGGGGAGTGCGTTGGCGAAAGTGTGTACGGGAGTTAGGCTGATCAAGTACTTGCGAGAATAGAAGCAACTTCTTGGTGCCGCACGGGAGTATCTAGAGTGGTGCTGAAACTCTAAGCCCATAACAGTTGGTATCAGAGTAGGTTCGTCAAGGGAGCTTTATTGGAGTAGACACGGCTAGCGAATGAGACCACCATGTCCATATCTTAGAGCAGAGCTTAGAGGAGAAGCTCGCCACATATTTGGTCTACACGGAGACCAAGTCCAATAGGCTCGAGAAAAAGATTGCAAAGCTCTAGAGCTGATCGACAACATGGCGATCAAGGCGCGAGAGAAGGAAAGGGACTTGCATGATCGAGTAGACGACTTGTAAGTGGAGATTGCCGAGTGTAAGAAGGAGTTCTCCCAGGCGCGCAAGGTCGTGGTCAAGCCAAGGAAGAAGAAAGCGTCGGAGCCCAAAGAGTACGATGGGGCAAGGAATACGCGCCAGATTGACAATTTTTTCTAGCACATAGAGCGGTACTTCAAGTGCATGGAGATCGAGGATGATGAGGAGAATGTGCAGACAAGTACCATGTACCTCACAGACACCGCCGCTCTATGGTGGAGGCAGCGCTTCATCGGTAAGGGCGCAGGAGCGGTTGACATATGGGAGGAGTTCAAGAGACAGCTCAAGAGGTAGTTCTACCCTGAATGCGTTGAGGACCTCGCCATGATCAATTTAAGGTGCCTGAAGCAGAAGGGCAGCATAAGAGAGTATGTAAAGGAGTACTCCAATTTGATGTTGGAGATCCCAGAGATGCTGGAGCGGTAACACATGTGCTTATTCATAGATAGGTTGCAGTCTTGGGTGGCCACGGAGCTTAAGAAGAGGGAGCCTAGAGACTTGGCATCCGCCATAGCTATAGCGGAACGCTTTAAAGACTTTAGGCGCGATAACAAGAGGGCCACGTCTCCTAGGAGGGACCACGGCAAAGGTAGGGGGACTGGCGCTTCAAGAAAAGGGCTCGCCCAAGTCCAGGAATGATGAGCACAACGATGAGAAGAGACGCCCACGCCATGACAAGGGCAAAGACCATGGACAGAGGTCCAAGGCTAGTGGCAAAGGGGAGCACCACGACAAGGGCAAATG